ATATATATATATATATATATATATATATTGTATGTCTAGTTATCTAATATATTTTTATGTTCATTATTATATTGTTGATTATTGTTTATTTATATCAATTAATACATTTATATTATATTATTATACATTTATATCCAATAGAATATATATATATATATATATATATATATATATATATATATATATATATATATATATATATATATATATATATATATATATATATTCAATTTTATGGGTCATTATAAGCACAATACCAATTTTATTATATATTAATATTAAATTTTAGAATAATAAAAATATTCTATCTCACTGGTCACTATCAGCCTAATACTTATTTAGATCCTATGACTATTTAATACATTTGATTTTATTTGATAATTGGTTATAATTCATTTTATAACTAAATATATTTATACACACACACATATATATATATATATATATATATATATATATATATATATATATATATATATATATATATATATATATATATATATATATATATATATATATATATATATATATATATATATATATATATATATATATATATATATATATATATATATATATATATAGTAAGCTTAAAAATATAAAAACTAAAAACAATACATTTTAAATGAATTATTAATATTTATTAATAACAAATTTTATGCTAAAATATAAAAGTTTATTGAATTATAAGCAAATTTTACTATTTATTATTTAAATTAAATTAAATTTATTTTAATATATATATATTTTGGTTTGATCAATACTCGTATTTCATTAATATTTTGAATATATGCAAGAACTTTTATAAAATATAAAATTTGCTTATAGTTTGGAAAAAAGTTATATTCGTTATATAAAAATATTGTTTTATATTTATAAAAATTAAAAAATAATATATTTTAAATAAATTTTGATTATTTATTAATTACAACTTAGAAATTATATATTTTTATATTTAATTATATGTATATTGTATGTCCAGTTATCTAATATATTTTTATGTCCATTATTGAAATATTGATTATTGTTTATTGATATCCATTAATACATTTATAATATATTTTTATGCATTTATATATATATATATATATATATATATATATATATATATATATATATATATATATATATATATATATATATATATATATATATATATATATATATATATATATATATATATATATATATATATATATATATATATATATATATATATATATATATATATATATATATATATATATATATATATATATATATATATATATATATATATATATATATATATATATATATATATATATATATATATATATATATATATATATATATATATATATATATATATATATATATATATATATATATATATATATATATATCCACATTTATAGTATATTTAAATATATTTATTTATTTGTAGTAAATTTTAAATATATTAATGTTTATACATATTTTTATATTTATACATAATTTAATTATATTTTTATTTAATATTTTTATGTTGTTACACCGAAATAAAATATATCTTGAGTCATACTAAAATATAAAAGTTTATTGAATTATAAGCAAATTTTATTATTTTTTATTAAAATAAAATAATATTTATTTTAATATATATTTTTTGGTTTGATTAATATTTTGAATATATGCAAGAACTTTTATAAAGTATAAAATTTGCTTAAAGTTTGGAAAAAAATATATTCGTTATATACAAATATTGTTTTATATTTATAAATATTAAAAATAATATATTTTAAATAAATTTTGATTATTTATTAATAACAACTTAGAAATTATATTTTTTTAATATTTAATTATATCTATATTGTATGTTCAGTTATCTAATATATTTTTATGTCCATTATTAAATTGTTGATTATTGTTTATTGATATCCATTAATACATTTATAATATATTTATATACATTTATATATATATATATATATATATATATATATATATATATATATATATATATATATATATATATATATATATATATATATATATATATATATATATATATATATATATATATATATATATATATATATATATATATATATATATATATATAATTTGTTAAATTATGGGTCGTGGGAGAGGACGTGTGTAACACCCATGGGCGAGGGAGTGGTTGTCGGTGTCATGAGGCATGACAATGAGACACTCCTAGCCCCTTCTAGGGAAAAATCGAATTCACATCCGAATGAGAGGGATCCTAAGGCTATGCAGGTATGAGACTGCGTGGTTAAATGAAGGCTTATAAGGATTAATTGGTACTACCTATACCAACAAGATGCATCTTCTTTTCGGTAGCCCATTCATAAGAACTCCATAGTTAAACGTGCTTGACTTGGAGCAATTCTGGGATGGGTGACCTTCTGGGAAGTTTCTCAGAAAGCGTGTGATTGAGGACAAAGCATGCTGAAAAGACCCGTGTTGGTTTGTGGGGTCAGTCGGTAATTCTGAAAGCAATATGGGGCGTTGCAGATGGTATCAGAGCCATACCTCTCCCAGTACGATGTGGTTCGGGGACGAACCAAGCGGAAGTTGGTGGGCATGTAACACCCATGGGCGAGGGAGTGGTTGTCGGTGTCATGAGGCATGACAATGAGACACTCCTAGCCCCTTCTAGGGAAAAACTAGGGAAAAACCGAATTCACATCCGAATGAGAGGGATCCTAAGGCTATGCAGGTATGAGACTGCGTGGTTAAATGAAGGCTTATAAGGATTAATTGGTACTACCTATACCAACAAGATGCATCTTCTTTTCGGTAGCCCATTCATAAGAACTCCATAGTTAAGCGTGCTTGATCCTAAGGCTATGCAGGTATGAGACTGCGTGGTTAAATGAAGGCTTATAAGGATTAATTGGTACTACCTATACCAACAAGATGCATCTTCTTTTCGGTAGCCCATTCATAAGAACTCCATAGTTAAGCGTGCTTGACTTGGAGCAATTCTGGGATGGGTGACCTTCTGGGAAGTTTCTCAGAAAGCGTGTGATTGAGGACAAAGCATGCTGAAAAGACCCGTGTTGGTTTGTGGGGTCAGTCAGTAATTCTGAAAGCAATATGGGGCGTTACAACGTGGGCGACCACGATTGGTGCCACCAACGCCCATTTCTGATCAGAATGCCATGGAAAGGGAAACTATTGTGGACGATGAAGTGCGAAATGACACAGTGGAAAGTGATAGCCTGGCGGAGGAGGAAGAAGAGAATGTAACTGATACAGAAACCCTAGGTCACCAAGAAACCCTAGGTCACCAAAGCACTGAAGAAAGAAAGGAGATGGAAGCTAGCCAAACAAAGTAACTATGGGTTGAAGGGTCTCACAATGGAATTCGTTGCACCAAAGATTATTAATAGAGAAATGAAAATCCAAATTGAAGAGGAAGATGTTGAAAAGAAAGTGAAATTCTGGGAATATGCCCTCATCATGTACGTCTTGGGTGTAGACCTAAGCATTAATTTGGTGAAACAGTTTATGAGCAAGAGTTGAAATTTTGTGAAATTAAGGATTTAATATAAATTTTAACCTTATATTTTATTTTAACCTAACGGTTTTAATGTTTAATTTATATTTTTAAGTGAGGAAAATATTTCTAAATATAATTACACAAATAAAATTAGCATCATATAAATTAATTAATTTTTGAATTAGTGGACTTTGGAGACACAGTTAAATTTCAATCTAATAACTTTTATTTTATTTCAATATTTTTTTTTAAATAATATTAATTTAAAATGTGAAATATGTAAAAAAAATAGACTTTAAAAAATAGCTTTTAAGTTCGTGAAATAAACAAACTGAACCTAACGAGTCGAACCGAGTTGCTCGTAAACTTATAACGGATTGAGTTTGAACTTAAAAAAAATTTGTATCGAACTCGAACCAAGATTTTAGATGAAACAATTCTTAACGAATCGAGTTGAACTGAGACAAGTTCGATTCGACTCGACTCATTTTCAATCTTACTTAGAAGAAATAAAATTAAAATTTAAATCACGTACCTACCTCACTACCTTTTGGCCTATGTTTTGTCTACCATAAGACAAAAGTAAAGGGGTTCAAAACCAAATCAACCTAATAAAAAATCACAAACTAAACCAAATCAAATCAAAACCACAAAAAAAAAACCTCATTTTGATTCATATTTGTTTGGGACACTTTCCAAAAATACCCACAATTTGGATACATTTGCAGCTTGTATTTTGCAAATCAAACTAAATCAAACCAAACTTCACTTACCTTACATTCAACCCAAAACTCAAATCTATATTATGTGTTAACCTTCCAATTATGGTTTAGATGATTTTTGACGTCAAAATCACCCAAACCGCACCGCAAACACCCCTAGACCAAAGTGTTTTATCTCATCAACATCTAAGTTGCTTGTGGAGGAAGATTCATAATAATCTTCATCCCCTTTATCTCATCAACATCTAAGTTGCTTGTGGAGGAAGATTCATAATAATCTTCATCCCCTGTTATGTACACTCTACAAATATTCACTTTGATGACTATTCTCTTTTAACTTGGTTTAGAAATTTCAGCATGAAGAGAAAAATAGAGAAGCACCTTGATTCAAATCATCAGACTTTTTTGCAACCAGGTTTTCACCTGCTGCTTATAATGATCCTAAGTATTACTAGTTTAAAAAAATGTATTGTGTTTAAACCAGTAATTGAAGACCAGCAGTTAGCATAGGGGTGACAAATTGTTCCATGGTGAAGATGATCTTGACATTTGGAGCAGGTGAAAGTGCAACAATAAGTATTTTCAGAAGCTACGTACGTTGCATATTGACAAAGGTGTTTAAAAACTTAATATTTTAAAAGGTGTTTAAAAACAACATAAAGCAGGCAAAGATTTCCTCACACAAACTAGGGAAGCAAAATTGTAAAATTCATGCATGATAAAAAATCTAAAAAGTCTACAACATAAATAAGGTAGTTGCCAGAATCAAAGCATCAGACATTAACTTTTTAATCTTCATCCTCCTCATCACCATCACCACCTGAGGCCTTCTTAGCTGCAGCCTTAAGGTTCTTTCGCTTCACACGACCAGGACGACCACCGCCAAGAGGACTTGTGAGTGAAAAGTCAATGTGCTTCTGTGAATCAACCCTCACCATGAATGATGGGATGTTCACCACCTGTCTCCCAACCCTGAGAGAAACACAAAATGATATCATTATCAATTTGCAAACATGACATTATTATGGGACCAATAGGCATACAAAAAATATCAAGAATATATAGGACCAATAGACACTATCATTTAAAATTCATGCATAATAACAAGAAATTCATTGACAAAAACAAATGCTACTCTAACAGCAGCAGCTATAATAAAAAGTGGAAGACATTACAGACATAGTTCAATAGAAGCCAGAAATACACTAGCTTAAGATATCACATCAACAAAGATTCCAACTCCGAGCAACTACGGGCCATAGACTATAGACTACAAACAAACGAACATCAGCCATTGCTTGATAAATCTAACAAACCAAACCAAACATAATGACAAATAATATAAACATAACCTACATCAAAAAGCATGTACTAAAACCTATTGGTAACAGTGCACAATCAATTTTGTTCACAAAACATTAACCCATGAGAATGTTTTCAAAACGATACATTGTAAAAACAATTCTAAACCACAAATTGGAAGAAAAGTTCAATAATAATAATCCTAGACTACCATATCCCAGACGAACAAATGACAAATACCTGATGTGCCTCTGCCTGATAAGAACCCTAGCGTGATGAATAGACTTAGCCATGCCAGATTTGAAGACAAGAGTCTGAAGGCGGCGCTCGAGAAAGTTCTCGACAGTAAGAGCCAAGACATAATCGAGCTTGTTCTGAGTTTCATCAAGAAGACCATAACGAAACATTCTCCTCAAAAGTGCTTCACCCTCAAAGATCCGACGAGGGTTCTTCTCATCCAGTGTCAACAGATTCCTTGCATTGTTACGGATACGGCTGAGAGCGTACTGAACCCTCCAAAGCTCCCTCTTGCAGCGAAGACCGTACTCTCCGACGAGCTTCAGCTCAGCGTCCAATCGTTCCTTCTCGTATGGACGACGAGGCTTCTTGAAGGTTTTCCCATCTGTTCAATCAAGAGGATTATGTAAATTCAACAAGTTTGAATAAATTTAACATAAAATGAAAAATTAAATGAATAAAAGAATAGATGTGGAGAAATCAGGATCAAGTAAATGGATACTCACAATTCCGGTAAAACGAAACATGCACCATAGCTGCTTGTTTCGCCGCCGGTTCTCTCTGGTAGGTTTTAGCTTTTGTTTCTCTGAGTTAAGCTATGGCAGAACCCTTATATTTTGTGGACTGGGTATTTCTACTTAAAGGCCCATTTACATGAAGTGCGCTATTTCTTCAAGGGCCCTACTACTTGCACCTCACTTATTGTAAATTAAAATATGCGAATAGAGTGTTTTGAAAATCGAATCGAATTGGTTTAATTTAAAATTACAGTTTAATTCGGCTCGGTTTAAACCTGTAAAATCGGGATGAATCCATTTCAACCACGAAAAACTGAAATAATCGCATAACCGAAATCAATATTGTTGAATCAGACAATTCAGTAAATCAAAGTTAATTATTTGTTATATTTCTTGTTTTTTTTAGATCAAAAAAATAATTATAGCAAATATTTAAAATTGTATAAATAAAAGATAAAGAATAAAATTGGAAAACATGAGATAATGTAAATGCAAATGTAAGGAGAAGAAATAATGCGGTGTTTGTGAATATGGGGTAACTGATGTTGGTCTTGGAAGGGATGAGGAAAATTATGCCAATGAAGAACCGAGAATTGGAGAAACGACACACGCATATGCTAGTGTTGAATCACATTGTGCTTGTGAGTTAAGGAATTAGGACAAATACATAACCATTGGGTCTTAATTAATTTTCTTGTTTATTATATTTGTTTACGAAATTATTTTATAAATTATAATATAAATTAATTTTGTTTAGTTTAAATTTAATATGCTTTTAAATCACAATTTAATCTATTGACCTTGAAACACATCTTTTGTCGATTAATTCTCCGGTTTGATTTTTAAATCGTTGATTAAAAGTATGTTAGTAGAACAAATTCTAGCATTCAAAATATTAGATATGGCTTCAGTGACTTTGAAAATTTGTGACTTTGGTGACTTTAAATATATTTAGAGATAGAGAAAATAAAAAAGGAAGGGAAATCAAATAAGAGAGATTATATATAAGTGAGATATTATATGTAAGTGAGAGAAACACACAAAGTTATAATGACTTTGGCACTTCAAAATAATATGATTATATTTAATTTATATTTATATTTAAAATACGAGTGTTAATTAGAAATACGAGAATTCTTATTGATTTGTCTTATAAATTTGAACAAATATTTAAGAAAATTAAATATTATTTTACTGTTTCATATAAATTTATTAAATTTTGTTTTGTGATAGAATTCAAACTATTTGGTGAATGTTCATTTGTTCTGCTATGAAATTAAAATTTAAAAATAAATTGTTGTTTTTATTATTTATTATAGATTGCCTTAGTTAGTAAGGAGTTGGTTCACATAGTGAAAGATCGTAGATTCAACTTCTATTATTAGCCCGAAGATATCTTTAATGAATGATTTGTAAGTATTTTTAGAGACGCTTTTTGAATCTTAACGTCTACTCTGACCGTGGTGAGCTCTGGAGTCCAACTCATCTAAACTTTTCTTAATATATATATATATATATATATATATATATATATATATATATATATATATATATATATATATATATATATATATATATATATATATATATATATATATATATATATATATATATATATATATATATATATATATATATATATATATATATATATATATAACTTCTACAACTTTAGAAAAAGATAAATTATTATGCATGGATAGAAACGATATAATTGAAGTTGAAAAAGACACAAGAAGGGAGTAAATTGTGTTGACTTTTTCTCTTTTAAGTTTTTTTAGCTTTTGCTCCTGATGGTTTTTAATCAAATTCTAAACACTTGGTTCAGAGTCTGACTTCAGACAACTTAGTTTACTTCTGTAGGTCCTTATTAGATTTTGAATCAAAATCTGACTTAGAGTAACAGAGTTAACGACAACGGAATATTAAGTGCAGAAGTAAGAAAAGTAAAAGCAAAGACACAAGTAATTATCCTGATTTCTCTTACAACTTCATAGTAGTCCAGTCTCCTTGTACTCACAAGAAATTTTCACTATAACCAAATTGATTACAAATGCTCAAGCACCAAGCAAGAGACTTCTAATACTCAAACACACAAATAAGAAACTTATTTTGCCAAAATTCACAAGTAAGAGACTTTTATGCACAAGCACACAAGCAAGAGACTTCAAATTCTCAAACACTAAAGTAAAATACTTCTGACTCTGTAAAAATTGTTAAGAGATTTGGGTAACAAATACATTTGATATACAATTAGAGTTGTAGACATAATGCAACTTAGCAAGACTTTAAGGGTGTTAAGAAGTTTTAAGTCTAACTTATTTTTGACTTAGTAACTTCTCTTTGAATGTCAATGTTTCATGTTCTTGATCCCACATGTAATTTGCATCATCTACCACAAACAAGAACACGAGTTTTGGTTCTCTTGCCCTCCTCTATAGTTTGCTCTTGAGGGGGATCACCAAGCACCCCTATTTTCTTGTTTGTTTGATATTTGTTTATGTTTATGTTTATGTTTATTAACCCTAATCAAAATCCAAAAAATGTTTGTTTTTCCTTTTATTAACCTTTTCAAGAGAAAGTGTGGATCAAGAACATTAAATACCAGTTCCTCAGCTCGAATAATATTCATCTAAACAAAGTTAAAGTTGACCTGCAAACAATTCAAAAATCATTTGATGAAGAGTTTCCCAAGATTTGATTGTTTATTGCTCAAACGACTTTAAGGTTCATGTGTTTATTTCCATGCCTTCTTTGACAAGAAAAAGTATCGAGTCAGAGCCAAGACAGCATAGCAAAAAGGTATTTTTCTCATTTTTAACTGTGTTAATCGATTAACCAAAATCTGCCTAAACAGAAAATTCAAATTCTGCAGTATTTTGGCACCAAATTCACTTGTTTCACCATGAGAATATTCTAAATCACTTCATTTTAATTCTCCAACCTCATCATAATTAATTCTCATCATACACCCTCATTAATCACCACTTGATCTTGATTTTGCCTCCAAATACAATTTTCAAGCCTAGATTAAATTTCAAACCAAATTCCAAACCACCAAAATTCCCAAGTCTAAATTTTATAAATAGAGCCCTCATTTCATTCATTCTTAAAGCTTTTGGTAGCCAAATTCACCTTGTCAAAATTCTTCCTCATTCTCAATTTTCTTCATTTACCCAAATTCACCAAAGCTTTTTCTTCCATTAAAAATTAGTAAGCTTTTCATTGAAGCTTACTAATCTTTGAGCTAAACCTCCATTAAAACACTTCATCAACATCAAATTTTGTAGACCAAAGCTTTGGAGTGTGGTTCTTGAAGTTGATTTGAAGCATTTTCAGATTTGGAAGTGGTAAACTCTTGTTCCACCGTTGTTGTGCTTGATTCATCTTCCATGATATGATCTCTTGTTGATTCTTGTTGCTTGATCTTCGGATCTTGCAAATTGTGTTTCATTGGTGTTATTTGATGTTGTTTTACTTAAATTTGCGTGCTTAATTGCATTCATGATCATGAGGTGTTTGAAGAAATGATTGAATCATGGAATGCTATTTTTTTCAAATTTTTATACTGTCTTGTCAGTGTTAATCGATTAACCAAAATTTGGCTAAAATGGTTAATCGATTAACACAAGTCAGAATATTGTTTTTGGCTTATTTTGGGATTGTTTTGGTGTTTTTTCTTCCTTCTTCCATTTCTTTTGTTTTACCTTGAATTATGGTGTTTGTTGATCAAATTTATCTTCAAATTCCATGGATTTTGGGTGTTTGATGAAGTTGGATAAACCTTCATTAGTTCAAATCTATCTTTAAGTGAATCATTGGATTCATTTTAGAGGCTTTGAATTAGTGATAGGTTTAGTTCTTTAATCCACCAAGAAGAGTGATGGAACTTAAAGATGGAACGATTCAAATGTTATGGTTCAATTTGACTTCCTTTCTTCCCTTTTTTCTTTTTTTCTTTTGGTCAATGAAAACCTTAAATGTCATTAGACTTCTCTTAGAAGTTATGATTAAGGTGAGACCACTACCTTTTTTCTTTTAGTGTGGCAAGTTTTAAGAGAATGACCTACATTTCATTTCTCTAACTTGTATTAACATAAACGTTGTTATTGAGTGGCCTCATATAGTCGTGGCTTCTACATAAGTCCGATTACAAATGCTTATCATAGCGCAAATTGTCTCTAAATCGGAATCAATGTTGTTTTTGTAAGAAGTTATCAATCTCTTATTCATCATAGTTGATGTGCTTTTTCGCAAGTGTACGAATCACGTCAAAGTAATATAAAAGATTATCGAATCCACAGAGACCAAGTGTCAATCTATCGTACCTGTTGTTATGGTGTTTATCTAAGGCAACTATTTTTAAGGGTTTTAGTAAGGGTGCAATGGTAAATAAAATTATAATTTTAAATAATAAATAAAAGACAGGCTCGAATGTAATTCACGTAATCAATGATAATCCAGTACTTGTTAATGGAACTACTTATGGGCAATGTTTTCTCCTTTGAAAAGAACTAATTTAACAGGAACTGTCGCTTTCGCGTATTCAGAACCGAGTTGTACTCTCTAATCAACCCCTCCTATTGTCACGGATAAAAAGGTGCGTACTGCGTTAGAGTAGTAAACCTATTTTTAAGAAATATAGTTTCTTAACAAAGTTGAAAAGTATTTTAACCTGGACTTCTTAGCAAAAAGAGGTTCTTATGAACCAGACTCTAAATCTCATAACGCGTCCGAAAATCGTTTTAAAATCTCTTTTCTTTTTAATCTAAAAACTCCTAATGAACTATACAAAGCGCTTTTGGCTGTTTTTGAAATAGTTAAAAACAATTACTTGAATTGAAAGATAAAATAGCCCTTAGGTGTTTCCACGAACAATTATACTGATTACTGGTTTAATTACGATCCTTACATTCTAACCTTTATGGGATTAGTTAGACATGATAAAGTAAATATTCTTTTTATAGTTTTTCATATAAGTAATTTAAAGCGAGTGCGGGAAGTAAACAAAGTAAA